GTGTGTGTGTGCGTGCGTGTGTGCATGCGGGAAGAAAAGCAGCTCATACAAGACAAATACTGTATATCAGTCATCTCTCCAAGGCTGATATACTGCGGAGGAAAATAAAAAAAGGTCTTTATGTTTTATTTTGATGTAGTTTTTCTGCACAATGCCTTTCACAAAAACGCATATTTGTCATCCGAAAGTAACAATATATATTTTGATTGCTGCATTTTCCTTTTCTTCTCTTTCTTTTGGAAGATCACAAAGTGAATTGTGGTTCAACCTCGTAAACAATAAGCAGTCTGGGTTTAGGAAAGTTCTTGGAGTGGGACGGAGGTGGGGGGCGCTGAAGAGGACAAAGGGGCTCGTTGAAGGACGCGTTTGTCCCCATCAGTGACCTCAGGCGGTTCTCCGTCAGATAAGACAAACACAAAATAAAATAATAACAAAACGGATGATAAAACTCCTCCTGTGTGTTTGTGTTCAGTGGAGTTGTGGAAGCAGCAGCGTAAACACTCAAGAGATACTCAAGAATCAGTAAAAGCTTCATTCAGAATGGTTTCCAACAACCTTAAGGGATTATTAGTTGTTGCTTATGAGTGTCCTCCAGGATTCAAATGTTACACAATAAGCAGAACAATGGTCCACAAACACAACCCCAATCCTGTGCGTGAAATAAATAAAACCTGTTTTAGCTGTAATGTAACCTAAAGAGTCAACATCTACATTCAAAATATCGAGTTTCAGTTTCCACTGAAGCTGAAGAACTTTGAAATAGTAGCTTTGAAATAAAACTGTGGCCATTTTTCTGCAAGAAATAAACAGCTTCACGCAATCATCCCAAACGATCTGCAAAAGTCTGATATTTCACCAGACAAACACGTTTGTCTGAACAGAAAGAGACATACAATGATCACATGTTGTTTTATCACTGCCAACAACTGGTTCAAGAAGCGCTCCTTGTTTTTTGTTTTTCAAAGATTTTTTTCCCCACAATGAATCTCAAAAATGTTCTTTGTATTTTCATAATCTACTAAAAAACTGAAAATTGTTTCATTTTGTTTTTATAAAATCATTTTCTTTTAATTATCAGATGATGAACTCAGCAATGAAAACGTATTCAAAACATTTTGACGACATTTAGGTAGAAGTCATTCATCTGATGACGTCACATGTCGGCTGAACAAACTCAGTCTTAATTCGAGATGTTCTTCAAAGTTAAAAAAATAAAAAAACTCTGAGATTACACAACTAATGCACAAACATTTATTATTATTATTATTATTGTTGTTGTTGTTGTTGTTGTTGTTATTGTTGTTGTTATACGTTTTCCTTGTAAGGGCCACTTTATAAATGATTTTTACTGCTTTATTAAAAGGTCAAACACGTAATAAAGCAGTTGCTGTTCTTATACTGAAGCAGGATCACTGTTATAAGTGCTGAACTATTGTTTATTCAAGTAATTGTAACATATTGCTAAATACTTAGTTTTGAACTTAACGATTTTATGTGAGAAAAAAAAAACAAAAACACAAAGACTAACAACTCACCTATAAATGCTAATAGTGCTTTCATTAAGGAAAATGTTGCATAATTTAATAAAAGTGCAGCACTTTATTTTGCCAAACAGTGAGACATGTTTTATTTTAAAAATAGTTGATACTTTAGAAAGTTCTTAGAAACTAATGAATAATATATCTATAAACAATAAACAAACCGCTTAAGGAAATAGGTACAAATTATTATTATTATTATTATTATTGTTGTTGTTGTTGTTGTTGTTGTTATATGAGGAGTTATTATAATATAATAGAATGCAAATATATATAAATTCAATGAATCTGAAGCATAAAGATGTATAAAATGTGGCTCAGGTTTGCAGAAACAAACTGACAGGAAACAGACGTGCAGCCAAGGCTGCAGCCTGCCCTTCATCCTTACATCTCACACCTGAAAGAGCCTCAGCAGCACCGAGCCGTCAGAAAATTAGTTTATTTTTCTTTTCTCTGATGTTAAAAGGTGCAGATATTAGAAAGCTCGTTCAAAAGCATCAGAAACCTCAGAATGTTAATAAAAACTGCTGAGGCAGATCAACAGGCAGAAAACAGTCATTAAACCCTTTAACATGTCGAGCCAGGAGTTCACACACACACACACACACACACACACACACACACACACACACACACACACACACACACACACA